TGAAGACACTCACAAAGGCGGTGAATATGGCACAGGTGAATGTCGGCAATGCAGAGCAGGCGGCTTTGGGTGCACAGCAGGAGCAATCTGAAAAGACGCAATTGTTTGAGGCTGCAAAAACTCGTGTCGAACAGTTGCTAGGTCAGTTGAGCGTGGCGCGCAGTGATTACTCGAAGACGAAAGATGCCGCTATGAAAGCGGCGGCTGCAGCGCATGAGGCGAAGCAAAACGCAAATCCTGCAGGACGTTGTTCTCGATCGCTAGCTACAGCTCGTTTGATGGCCAAACGTCATCGGCTATTGGGGCATAGGATGAGACATTGAGGATGATGATGATCTACACAAGGTTGGAGAAGAATTCAAATGAAGCTGGAATAGTATCGCATGCCATATAACAAATATGTTTGTAATAAGTTGGAATATACCATGTTACTTTTTGCATTGTTCGCCTTTTTAAGTAATGAAGAAAAAATGCTTTATTTGGTTTAAGATTAAAGCTGTTAAGCTGCTAGAAAGTATTGAAGAGCTATTATAGACAAAAAANGGTAATGAAGAAAAATTGCTTTATTTGGTTTAAGATGAAAGCTGTTAAGCTGCTAGAAAGTATTGAAGAGCTATTATAGACAAAAAACTGAAAATTGACATTATACGCCTCAAACGCTGTCCTTAGTGGTTGGAGTTACTTCTATCTCAAAACATGTGGACAGCTTTCGTCTGAAAGCGAAGTGTAATTGCTCTAGTCGAAAGCTTTCGATAAGTTATGCGCTACTAAACACCTTCTCCCACAAGGGTGATTCCCAGTCGTTGCGGAGTGGAAGCGCGCACTGCTTACCACTACACCACAGCGGCCGACTTTTCCTTTACCACCTTAATAATTCCGAAATGTTGACAATAGAGAGGGTAGTCCAAAAAAAAGGCTTGAGTTCGAGCAAAGCCCCTCCCCACAGTAGGGACNTTTACCACCTTAATAATTCCGAAATGTTGACAATAGAGAGGGTAGTCCAAAAAAAAGGCTTGAGTTCGAGCAAAGCCCCTCCCCACAGTAGGGACGAACCGAAAGTATCGATATGGTACTC